TGATAAATATCTCATTAATAATAATAAATAAAAATAATGTTGTAAATATGTTGCTTTAAATTTATTTTTAATTTTAATTCCTGCATTAATTTTGTCGTTGTGCAAATAAGTCAGTGAAGGTCAAGTTACGGGACCTTTTTTCGTTTCTGCAGACTATAGGGCGGGCGTGATGTGTGAAACGGTGATAGACGATTTGTGGCAAAAAACAACTGCTTCACATTAATGCTGAGTGTCTGGACGGGATTGAAAGTTTCTCTGTGTTCTGTCGCATTCAACTTCCACCGCGTCCCAACTGTGATAAACTCGTGAGTTTAATTAAAAAAAAAAAAAAAAAAAAAAAAAAAATAAAAAAAATTAGCAATTAATATATGTTGTAAATAATTTAAGTATGAATAATATTAAACATAATTTTTTATACTCATAGTGATATAGATATATAATATATAATATATATATATATATATATTAAATATTATTTGTATAATATTTAATAGACGGAAGGAACCCCCTCCAACTATAATGACTAACAGAACCAATGATTTATTTTTCACCAAGGGTGTCATCATACCCTTGTACCAGCGCGACGTTATAGTTTTTCGTGCAAACACTTTTTGGGTTTATGGGTGTTGAGCGTAGCTAATTAAATAAATTAATTGCCACTTAACCTGTGCCACATCAATGTCTCTGCTTCGTCTATTAGCCGTCAATGCGAACTACGCGCTTGTCACCTTCCATATGATCAGTCTTAAGACTGCGAGCGCGCGCGCTGGAATATCCATCCTCAGCACCCACCCAGCTCACCATCCGCTCTGATGGTGGAAGTTCACGCCCTCATTCACAAAAGGAACCTACCTCAGCCATGTTCACGCGTACCCGTAAGTAATGTGCTTTAGCAATTACTTAATCCTTGACGGCCCAGATTGTATAGTAGCAATGTTTAATGTTGCCGTATGTCAATGTAATGTTAGTAATCACACTCATCTTAATCCTGACCTCAGTGTTATATATACCAATGTTTAATGTGGCCGTTATGTAACTGTTACTGTAGTAAGTCAAACTCACTTAATCCTGACCTCAGTGTCTTATATATACCAATGTTTAAGTGCCGTATGTAATGTACTGATTAAAGAATAAAAATAAAAGAAAAAAAAAAATATAAAAAAATTAAAAAAAAGAAATAAAATCATAATTAAAAATTAAAAAATCACGACTTAATGCCTGACCTCAGTATATATATATACTCCATGTTGTAATGTGCCGTACAAGTAATGTACTGTTAGTAATCAACTCACTTAAATCCTACCTCAGTTAGTTTAACTGTACTTTAAACTGTACCTTAATCCTGTACCTCAGTATTAACCATGGTTATGTTCAGTGTACCGTGAGTATGTGATATACGCATCATTAGCCTTACCCCAGTGTTATTATCATACAATGTTTCCAGGTTGCCGGAGTAATGTTGTATATCAATCATTAACCTTACCCCAAGTGTTATATACTACCAATGGTTCAGTGTACGGGAGTAATGTTGGTATATCCCATCATTACCCTTACCCCAGCTGTTATATATACAAGGTTCAGTGGGTGCCTTAAGTAACTTATCGTAGCATAATCCTGACCCCTGCTTGCGTCTTCCTCTGCATCGAACGCGGTAGCAGACTAGCAGTATGACTTTAGATCTTCCTTCCCTCACCGTACTGATCGTAGTCAGGTAGAAACAGCCTCATGGGGATGGGTCCGATATCATTGAGGGTTAGGTAGTAGTGCGTTACGGTTCAGAGTTTGGAGTTACCGACACTTCCTTATACGAGACGATCAAAATGATATTCTTTATTTCTTCACTGTTACTGTTACTGTGAACAGTCTGGTGGGGAAGGCGTTAGGGCATAGAGTACAGCTTCTTTATTAATACATCAGTAATAACTCTTCTGTTCCCTTTCTCCATTGTTACTGTTATATGACTGGTACCAGCCTGGTGGGGAAGGGTTAGGGTTAGAGGTACCAGCTCTTATATTGAGACATCAGTACATAACTCTCTTTCCCTCTTTCTCATTGTACTGTTCTTATACGACTGGGTAACAGTCTGGTGGGGAAGGGTTACGGGTTAGAGGTACCAGCTCTTTATGAGACATGCAAGTAATAACCTTCTTCTCCCTCTTCTCACTGTGTACTGTTATAGACTGGGTAACAGTCTGGTGGGGAAGGGTTAGGGTTAGATGGTACCAGCTTCTTTATTGAGACCAGTCACGCTAATAACTCTCTTCTTCGCCTCTCTTCACTGTTACTGTTTATAGACTGGGTTAACACAGTCCTGGCGTGGGAAGGGTTAGGGTAGCAGTACCAGCTTCTTTATTTGAAGACACAGTAATAATCTCTTCTTTTCTTGCCTCTCATTGTTACTGTTTATAGACTTGGGTAAACGTCTGGTGGGGAAGGGTTAGGGTTAGACAGTAGCAACTTCTTTATTGAGACATCAGTAATAACTCTTCTTTCCTCTTCTGCCACTGTTTACTGTTATAGACTGGTAACAGTTCTGGTGGGAAGGGTTAGGTTAGAGAGTACCGTCTTTATTGAGAACCATCAGTAATAACTCTTCTTCCCTCTTCTCCCTTTACTGCTGTAGACTGGGTAATCAGTCTGGTGGGGAAGGGTATAGGGTTTAGAGTACAGCTTCTTTTATGAGGACACTCAGTATAACTCTTCTTTCCCTCTTTCTCACTGTTAGCTTGTTATAGACTGGGTAACAGTCTGGTGGGGAAGGGTTAGGGTTAGAGGTACCAGTTCTTTATTGAGAACATCAGTGAATAACTCTTCTTTCCCTCTTCTCCCTGATTACTGCTGTGACTGGTAAAGCAGTCTGGTGGCGGAAGGGGAGATTCGCGGATGTCCGGCGCAGGCCTGCTCGCGACCTTCTGGTACGACCAGGAACCTCTGACCCTTGACCTCGCGAAAGCGCGCCCACGTGTCTGCTCGCAAGATGGACAGGGCACCAACCTGGCGTTCCACGTGGAGCGGCGCCGGCGGGGCTAGTATCGGTGCTTATGGAACCGGCGACGTCGGTGGTAGAGGCGCTGGCTACGGGCGGCAGACGTCGGGCTCCCCGAGTTGTGAGTTCATGTTATTTCACGCCGCTGCTATTCAAACTATAATCTATCTCTGAATCCAAGGATATATATATATATATATATATATATATATATATATATATATATATATGTGTATATATGTATATATGTATATATAGTTCATTGTGATTATTTACTTCTGATGTATATATATATATTTATTTATTTATTTATTTGTTTATTTGTTTGTGTTATTATCATTTATTTATACAATATAAATATAAGAAGGGGAACAGTTATTTACAGGACGTGGGATTGTCCCACTTTAATTATCTGAGAACCCGGGGTAAATACTAAAAATTAAAAACTAAAGTAGATTTTTCGTGATTAGAGAATCAAAGTCAATCGAGAGCATCAGCCGGTTAATTTAACCAGCGACCAATATAATCTCGTGAATCACTCATCATTCTACGATTGTCTATCGCGGGTGACTATAGTGCGCATGCGTGCAAGTATTATTATCTTCTCTCGTTATCGAGTGCGTGGATCGCTCTATTATTTCTACGATCGCGTCATTATTTATTCGCTTCTCTCTGTATCTAACGCGTGGATCACCCATCATTGTACGATCGCGTCATTATTTATTCGCTTCTCTCTGTATCTAACGCGTGGATCACGCTCGTATTTCTATGATTTGATGATTAATTATTCGCTTCGTTGCGTCACCTAGTGCGTGGATCACGCTGGGGAACCTGTACGATGTGCAGCAGAAGGACTCTGTCTTTCAGCAAGGATTCTACGGTCAGCTGGCTCGCGTTAACGTCTGGCACAGGTCTCTCGACGCAGACACGGAGATACCGGCCCAGGTGCGTCTACTACTACTGCTCTCTACCAACCCCAGCGCGTTGTGTCGTCCGTGCCATCCGATTACCTGTCTTTGATTTCGTATAAATCTCACTGACTAGTCGATAGGCTACATTGCGTACGATTGAACTCGATAATAAACTTGATTACGCAGCATGCATGTACAAACACAGGACTTGTGAAGCGCTTACACTTCACCAGTACTTGCACTCGACGTGCGAGTGTCTTCACCAGTACTTGCACTCGATGTGCGAGTGTCTTCACCAGTACTTGCACTCGATGTGCGAGTGTCTTCACCAGTACTTGCACTCGACGTGCGAGTGTCTTCACCAGTTCTTAGTCCAGAAGAATTCTAGGAGGGAATTCCCACCGCGTCTTGCCGTCCGTGCGGTTCGCTTACTTGTCCTTGATTTTATTACATTACCTACGTTCATGCGTGCGTGGTGTGTTCTGGGAAGGTGACCGCCATTATACCCATGTAAGGTATCTACATTTCTCTGCCCCTTCCCCTGCTAGCTACATCCTTGTTAGTTCTACCGGTGTAGCCCCCTCGCTCCCGCTACAGGAATGAGAGCGAAGGGGAAACACCGGTGAAGCTACAGCCTTGTAGTCACGCGAGGCTAAATGTAATGAGATCCGGTCGCATTCCCACAGGCACTATCTGGGAAGGTAACCGCCATTGACCATGTAATGTAATGTATCTACATTTTTCTGGGGGAGGGAGGGGGCTACTGCCCTCTTGCCCCCCAACCAACCCACACCACACTTACACACACAAGCTACAGCCTTGTAGTCACGCGAGGCTGAATGTAATAAGATCCGGTCGCATTCCCGCAGGCACTATCTGGGAAGGTAACCGCCATTGACCATGTATAATGTATCTACATTTCTCTGGGGAGGGGGTGCTACTGCCCTCTTGCCCCCCAACCAACCCACCCCACACTTACACACACTAGCTACAATGTTATAGTCACGCGAGGGTGTATGTAACGTGCTGGTATCCCGTCGCATCCCCACAGGCGTCCGGCTGTAAGACCTCACCGGTCATCTACGGTGGTCTGGCCGTCCGCTAGCTGGTCTATACCAGCCCCAGCTACCAACCCACCCCACACTTACACACACTAGCCTCAGTGTTATAGTCACGCGAAGGTGTATGTAACGTGCTGGTATCCCGTCGCATTCTATATAATTTTATATATTGAATGGACTATCCCCACAGGCGTCCGGCTGTAAGACGTCACCGCGGTCATCTACGATGGTCTGGCGGTGCGCTGGTCTATACCAGCCCCAGCTACCAACCCACCCAACATTTACACACACTAGCTACAGTGTTATAGTCACGCGAGGTTGTATGTAACGTGCTGGTATTCCGTCGCATTCTATATAATTCTCATATATTGACTGGACTATTCCTGCAGGCGTCCGGCTGTAAGACGGCACCGGTCATCTACGATGGTCTGGCGGTGCGCTGGTCGGGTTACGATGACGTGTACGGTAAGGTGGATGTCGTGCACAACAGCGAGTGTGGGGAGGTCGTCTGTCCGCCAGGATACGGAGGCATCAACTGCAGCGTCGCGCTAACAGGTGCCGTATGCCGCTACACTAGTTCGTAATAGTCTCGTTGGCTTTTATCGTGCCGTCGGTGTGTGCATTTCACTACGTATACACGTCTCGATTGATTATGCAACCATGCAATTACCAATGTTTATGATAAGGTTGATGTGATGTGATGTTATGTGATATGATATGATATGATTGTCCTTAGGAATCTGTAGACAGTAGTATTAGTTAGTGGGGCTTGGAACCTAGGTTTTGCTTGTTAGGGTTACTCTCACTATACTCTATCATGAATTGGCCATCATCATCGGTGGTTACCATGGGTTGTTGATCGTTAAAACCTGGAATCCGTTGTCAGAAAACAATTAGTCCAAACAGTCTTTTTCTCTTAGACCAGACCTTTATACCGCGCATGAGAAACTTGTAACTCGTGTACCATATTTCTGTCAATGGCCTATGAGAAAAATTTAATGTTAAGACAAATTTTAAGACTGTTTGTTTCTAACAATGAGCCCCTTCAGTTGCTCTCTATACGCTGACTTTAGTAAAAAAAACTAATTTTCCCGTCTTCCCACAGACAAGATCCCACCCCAGGCAGACTTCTGTCCGGCAGACATCCGGGTCGTGACCCCGCACAGGCAGACCGTCGTCGACTGGGCAGAGCCGCGATTCTTCGACGACCGAGAGATCGTGCGGCAGAACCAGACGTACCGTCCGCGCGACCTCTTCACGTGGGGCGACTACCTCGTCACGTACGCAGTGTTCGACGCTGCCGGAAACGTCGGCACATGCAGCTTCCGTCTATACGTGCTGCGTGAGTGCCTCGTCGCCCATGGCAACCCCAGTGTTCGACGCTGCCGGAAACGTCGGCACATGCAGCTTCCGTCTATACGTGCTGCGTGAGTGCCTCGTCGCCCATGGCAACCCCCCCCCCCCGCGCGGGGGTAGCTCTACCTGTGGTGTGGTTGCTTCCTGCTACGGGAGGTCCTGTCCCCTGTAGAAGGAGCGATAGAAATACATGGGTAGAGCAACCTAAGCGCGTGGGTGGCTACCATATGTTGGCAGAGTTTGACCCTAATAGTCAGCTACATCATAATTAAATCGTATGATTCATTGAATGAATAATAATATGAAGAAGAAATGGTTATGACGTCACAAGGATGTCACGATCTTTGTTCGTGAAATGTTGTGAGAAGGTTATCACATTCTGCTAGACTTATGGTAGTCGTAGATATTTACGAAGCATTTGAAAACCATTGAGTCTTTAATGAGTGGCCTGTACGTACTACAAAGCATCAGTACAATGTCAGATTAATTGCTGTTGAGTTTTCTGCCTAACAATAGAACGCAACTTGGGTTACTTACAATGTACGCTTGCAATACAGCATTGCAGTATAATATTGTAGTACAGTATTGTAGTACAGTATTGTAGTACAGTAGTGTATACAGTACAGTACTATATCAGCCACCGTGAGTGACGATCATGGGATGTATTTACTTCTGCAGGAGAGGACTGCAAGCAGCCTGAGGTACCTGCGAGCGTAGTGGAGCAGTGTGAGGAGTGGGGGCCGGAGGGACAGTACCGCTACTGCACGGTGGCGTGTGCAGACGACAGCCAGCGATTCTCGCAGCCGATGCCGGGATTCTACAGCTGTGGGTCGGACGCGACGTGGCGACCTAACCGCGGCGTAGCCAGCAAGCTGTCCTACCTACCCTGCACAGGTATGCACGATATATGCGTTCAAGTTATTATTTGTTATATTATTATTATATTTTGATATGCTATCAGTTTCTTAATATCATTGTAATAAAAGTTGTAACTCGGTGGCGTACATTGGTTACATTAATAATTAATATCATCCCTTAATACCTCATTAGCTCTAGTATCATTAGCTCTTGATTACATTATTGTTTCCTGCGTGGTTACACGTGTGTGCGTCGTGTCTTCCCACGTTTAGACACGCGCTCGCCGGACGCGCGCGTCGTCCTGCGCATGAACTACCACACGGAGAACCCGTGCAGCAAGGACACGCGCGCCAGTCTACAGGTGTCTCTAATGACCGGCATGCACCTCATGAACGCGGCGACGCCCATGTGCGCCGACCCCAACTGTGACTCGCTCAACGTCACCGTGGACTGTGTGGAGTCCGGCAGCGGTGGCATGTACGTGTCACGCGCCAGCTTCGTCACGCCGAGGTAGGTGACACGTGTGACATCATGACACGCCGTGCTGTGCCCTTAAGGGATCATTGTTATTACTGTCTGATCATCGTTACTCATCGTTAGTCATCGTTATTATTGCACCTTATCATGCCCTGCTGATTCGACTACGTAGAAATGTTGCGAGCCGACTCGGGAGATGCTTTCCCGATATATGTGTTCGCAATATTTACGTGAGCGTCTTCTATAGAAACTGATCGTTTTATCACAGAAGCTGTTCTGTTTGTAGTTGAGTCATCGAGTGATTTAGATTAGATTAAATTAGATTAGATTTTGAAATTTATTTACGCTTTCAAATATTACATAGTTACATATATGTCTCAACGATTTTTAAATAAATGCAGCGAGGGAGAGCGAGTTGACTGTGTAGTCTTCAAGTCAGCCACGCCGCAATATAAAGTTATTTACTGAAAGTTAATCCATGAATGGCAATACGATTGAGAATTACAAAACTATATATGAGCGATGTATAAAAATAAATAAACTACATGCAAATAAACCTGAGTCTACCTGAACCTGATGTCAGCAATATAAATAATCATACGCAGGTCCCAAATATATAGACAATAACGGGAAAAATGCGTAGGTGGTGTGATTTTCGTGGTTCATCCACATGTATGTGACGAGCATTTTCCCGCAGACATGCATGGTTCATCCACATGTATGTGACGAGCATTTTCCCGCAGACATGCTTGTATTGTATTGTTTGTATTGTATTGTATTGTATTGTATTGTATTGTATTGTATTGTATTGCACTGTCTGTATTGTGAGTATATATAAGTGGCGTGTGTGATTTCTGCAGTGAGTCGCTAGGTGGAGTGCTGGAAGCTGTACAGAACAGCGTGATGAACAACGATGCGCTGGCCATACAACACAACGTAGACCGCGTGAGCAAGGATCTCTCCTCCTTCTCCCTCCTCCCGGAGCCATACTGCACTGCAGGCAGCACCTTCCTTCACGACACCTGCGGTAAGAGGGCAGGAGGCGAGGAAAAATCATTTTCGGGATGCGGGATTGGATGATTTTAATTGTCCAGGAATTGGCGAAATACCCGATGTATTTTTTTTAAAGTTGAAGTGAAATACCAATGAAACTTGCATGCATTGAAGAATGTTGTCTCACATAGATGAACCCTAACCCTAATCCTAATCCTAACCCCTGACCCTAATCCTAACCCCTAACCCTGACCCTGACCCTAATCCTAACCTTTGACCCTGACCCTAACCATAACCCCAACCCCTGTCCTTAACCCTGACCATAACCCCTAACTACCCCACTAATCCTAGCCCCTGACCCTGACCCTAATCCTAACCCCTGACCCTGACCCTGGTCCTAGCCCTGACCCCAACCCCTATCCTTGACCCTGACCATAATCCCTAACTACCACCCTAAACCTAACCCCTAACCCTAATCCTAACCCCTGACCCTAACCCTAATCCTAACCCTGACCCTGACCCTGACCCTAACCCCAACCCCTGTCCTTAACCCTGACCATAACCCCCTAACTACCCCCCTAATCCTAACCCCTGACCCTGACCCTGGTCCTAACCCTCACCCTAACCCCTGTCCTTGACACTGACCATAACC